GTGGTGGTGGTGGTGGTGGTGCTGGTGCTGGTGATGGTGGTGGTGGTAGTGGTGGTGGTGGTGGTGGTGATGGTGGTGGTGGTGGTAGTAGTAGTAGTTGTTGTTGTCGTAGTCGTAGTCGTCGTAGTCGTCGTCGTCGTCGTCGTTGTAGTGCGAGTGGGAGTAGTAGTTGGTAGTGGGGGTGGAGTGGGAGGAGTGGGTGGGAGTGGGAGTGTGTCAGTGGGGGCGGGAGTGGGAGTGTGGTAGTGGGAGCGGGAGTGGGAGGGGGGTTGGGAGTGGGAGTGGGAGTGGTAGTAGGAGTGGTTGGGAGTGGGAGTGGGAGTGGTATTAGGACATTAGGAGTGGTGGTAGTGGGAATGTGAGCGTGAGTGGTAGTGGGAGTGGCTGGGAGTGGAAATGGAAGTGGGAGTGGAGGAAGTGGTAGAGGGAGTGGAAGCGGGAGCGGGAGTGGGAGTGTGGTGGTGCGAGCGGGAGTGTGGTAGTGGGAGTGGGAAGGGGTAGTGGGAGTAGGACTGGAAGTGGGAGAGTGGGAGTGCCCGTCGGATTGCAGGCCCAGGCCAAGTTACAAAAGCAGTCGATGGCAAAGACAGCATTTTTTTAAGAACCAAGTATGGCATGCACAGCATACAGTTTGTTCACTCACTTAGGTCGATGCTCATACTGCTAGCCACTGCATGAGGGAACCAGGTGCAGATGTGACTGTCGTTCGTACAGCTAAAGAATGCTTGAGGAAACCAGGTGCAGACGCATCTCCCTCTTCGCGATTCTTGGCGGTAGAATAGTATCCCCTTACATCCCCTATACAAGCACACTACAACCGACTTATGGAACAGACCGACTTTCTGGGAGGCAAGGCTGGAGTCTGGCATCTCGGGGGATATCCCCTGCCCGGATTGCGCGAAGGCCATCTCCGAGGAAGACCTCCTGCGACACCCGGTGTTAAGGAAGGTGTAGGATGTGTTCGCCAAAGTCCGGTCTTGGAGATTTTGTGATTTCCATACCAGGGACAATGACACACCAGCGCTTCCGGCTTCAATGTGTGCTTCACTCGTTCGCCAAGCGCAAGTGGTATCTCCTAGCCCCGGGCACCTCGATACTTGTGACGGGCCTTGACGAAGCAGCTGGCTTGCCACGACATCTACAGCAGTTGTGCTTGGTTTTCTGCGACATGCCGTCTCGCGAAAGCGAAGCCACCTCACAATTTCAGTAGCATGACACACGTCAGACATCCCGACCTTTGGTCCCACACCTGCCTGCTCCCTCGAAGTGCCTGGTTTCCATTTTCTCAAATCCCAGGACTGCTTCCGAAGAAGACAGTCTTTCGACTGCATGCCTCCAACATTCTTCGCCGTGCTGCGGCGTCCGGCAATGTCGTGAGACCCTGCCGGGTTCCTAGATGGAAGGCTCAGCCCAACCATAGATCAGTTTACATGCCCATCTCGTAGCTGGCATGGCTTGCATCTCGGCGATCTTCGGGACCGGCGCCCTAGTGAATCCTCGGTCCTGCGGTGCCTCCAGGTCCAACTCCCGACTGCATGATGAAGAAAGCTTTTCCTGATTCGACTTCCGCGAGGGGCACCTGCCCACTTTGCGGGCTTGAAGCATGCCACTCGGAGTTCATACGGCGGGGAATTGAGAATCGCACGATCCCGCTCTTGCTTCGATACGGCATGTAAAAATGAGCTTTAATTTCCGAGCCTGCTCTAGGCTGCATGTGCTGTGGGGCTACTTGTGAGTTTGGCACAAGCAAGTAGGGCAGCACTGTTTGCCTGAGGCATGAAGCTAGATAGTTCATATCACTTGCAAAGGTCAAGGTGTCTCCAGTGTGATCATCCATACCTACACTTTGTACATGTTTTGACTTTCCACTCGGTGCACACCGAAGAGCCGACCAGAAGTAATCCTTCCGAGTGAGCAACCCAAAGTCGCAGGCTGGATGTGCGGCGCCCAGCCGTACCACGAAGGTGGGGACGGGTGGGGGGTTTGGGGGGTTAGGGTTCGGAAGGCTGTGTGATCCGGTCTTCCATGGACCAGATGATTAGTGACTAATATAGTATACTATAATATATTATACTATACTAGACTAGACTATACTATACTATAGAGAAGTGGTATCCAAACAATCTGACGCGGGGTGCAAGTTCGCCAGGCCTGACTTGCGAGGAACACCGGAGGCGACAGCGGGGAAAAGGCGCCGACGAAAGTCGCTCGGTGTGGGTCCACTCCTTTTCTTAGATAGCCAATAGGAGAACTTTAAACTTTTTGGCCTTATATATCAGGACTATCCTAGAAAGTTTGAGCTTTTTTGGGCTTGGTTATTGAAGAAGAGAGTTTCTTAGCGGTGTGGGCGATCTGCTCTGAGGACCAACTTCATCTTGTAATATTCGGCCTACGGCCTTTAGTCACACTAGCTTCTAGCTCGATAGCGGCTTCATGATTCTGTCGGATGTCGGCATGTTCCATGAGAGCTCCTACATTGCCACATAGTCTTACATAGTATCGATGCTGCTCGCAAGGTCTGTTCACCGAGTCTAGTGCGGTCGGGCCAGGTGTTGGAAGGTTGCGCTCGGTCTGTACTCTTGCTGCCTCAGTCATGTCAGGGTACAAATTCAGCAAAGTGCAGGTGGTGACCCCTTCTGCATACTCTCAGGCTTCATGGAGTGGATGAAAGAGACAGGAACGAGACAGTGCCCCCAGTGCCGCATGCCTGCAGTTCAGATGGGCAGGAGGCGGAGCGTCAAATAATGGGCACCTGGTAAAAGCGCGGCAATGACCCCTAAGGCGGGATGGCGACTTCCAAGGAAAATCTGGACGCCCAGACGGAGCTGCTTTGGGGTGTTTCATGTAGTCGCACTCATGCGGGCATTCAAGAAATACAACAACGGCAGCAGCCATGCAAGCTGAGATGGGCTCCGTGTTTTCATGGAGGCTACAAGCAGGGACCGTTCCTCGCAGGACCAGGTGGAAGAGTGCCACAAGATGATGTGCCGCAACTGTGGATGCAAGTCCCTTGTCGGAGCTGTTGGATGGTGTTGATAAATTCTGTTCTGCCGGTATGGTGCGTAAGGAGCAATCCTAGCGGAACCTTTGTCTTTCGGGCCGGCTGTACGCGTGGGTGGCTCCGACACTGCATCGACAGCCCCTGCTGCACCGGCTTCGGGCCACGATTCAATCGCACAGCGCTATGCAATGAGCCGGATGCATGACGGGCTGATGATGTGCAGTACGCGCCCTCATGTAGAAAGGGTGCCGGTTTTGTGGGCGTTGCGCAGAATGTAGCTAGCCATCAAGAGAAGCGCGAATCTCTGTTTCTCATGCCGCGTAACGTGGTTTTGGTGGGCTCTTTGTCGGCTTCTGTTATCATGCCCACAGTGTCTGATATTGAATGAGTCGTGCTGCAAAGCTTCAATTTTGTTGCCAACTCGATGGCTACCGCTTTGTTGTTGAGACTGTCGGGCAACTGCCTTGGATTCCATTTGGGTTGACATGGCTTTCGGCAGACCTCTGATCGAGCCATAGATGCCAGCAGCAGGGTGTTGAATGGTGGTGATGTCTGAGTACACTCCACCGGCTCCTAGGCTCTTGAACCTTGAGTTTCAAACCATACCTACTCCTGTGCTGGGTAAGGAGTGTTGTCTTCTTCAGGCTTTCACGTCCTCTAGGGCCTCGTCCAAACTGCGGCTTTCAGCTGGCACGAAGAGCGCCCGAATATCTGAGGCAAGATGAGATAAGATAAGATAGTTTAACAGAATATTCAACACTACAACTAAGTAGTCTTGCAAAGGTTCTGCTTCGGCTGCGGCGCCATACTTACCGAAACATACACTTGCACCTCGACCTGCAGCATCATTACCGTTTCCTCGGGCATCGAAGTTGTGAGTTTCAGGGTCTTCGAGGTGAGTTTCGGTGCTGCGTTTTTCGGGATGGAGCTTCGGAGCATGGTCACGGACAGGTTCGGGTCAGGACATGGTTAAGTTAGTCACGGTTAGTTTCAGACAAACCCGCGTCCCGAAGCTGGGCGCCGAAGCCCCATCGGTTCATTATGGAAAGTTGGCCGATAGCCCATGATCATCAAGAACTACCGCGAAGCCTTGTAATTCTCTCTTTTGCCTCGACCAGCAAAGCACCTGACAAGTCTTTCATGGAAATCTGAAACACCGTCAATCCTGACCCGAGCGCTGAACGTCCCGCGACAGAATCCTCAACAGAACTTCAGGGTTTTGGTACGTCTCCAGAAAAGCTTCAACGAGCTTCTTTGCAATTGTTGTAAAGCCCTTAAGGAGCCCGACAGAAGCCCCTGTAGAACCCTTATACACAACTCATTTCCCAGGCGGATGCACACAAAATGCACACAACTTTGTGGACCCCCGCACGGGCAATCTGGTGAAGCACCTGCAGCAGCTCGGGCTCGTTTGAAAGGCAGCGCAAGATAGTGCAAGAATTATCAGGCCCTTCATCATTAGGATTAGGGTGGTTTTGGGCAGTTTTGGGGTATACTGTATCTGTAGTCTACCCGATTCTATCCTATACTTATGCGCAGGCTATGAGGCGCCATGATTCGTCATTCCGACGCCTGACAGGGATTTGACTCTGCCCGTGAATTAAGTCTATGGCTCTTGATGTCCCGAAGCTTGACACTCTTCAACTTGAAGCTCCGAGATTTATCAAACTTGTGAAAGAAAGCCCAATGTCTAGACTTTGCATATCCCGTATAGGGTAGTATTATAGTATAGTACAACCCAATTATGAAGACAGTTTAATGCTTTCAGAGGATGGCGAATTTGAGACACTCAGGAAAGCGAAGCCAAAGGCGAAGGCCAGGTCGCGCTGAGGCGGCTGCAGCGAAGTGAAAAGAGGGACATGGGGGTCGGAGTAATCAGCATTGCTATACGTTAGTTAGGGTTCCGTATTACATTCATGCTATAGTTAATTCCGTACCCGCAAGGCCTATTCTAGCTAGTAACTAGTACAGGCCCTCTAGCAGTTGGATGTCAATGTGACACTTCGGGACGTATCCTTACACCGCCCGCGTCCTCCTGACAAGGAGGACGCCAAGCCCGCGAATTTCCGAACTACCCATAGCTGAATGCTGCTTTCAGTATTAGCTAAGGACTTCGTCAGTCACTTTGATGCTGCTTGCTTCTCTGTGCTGTTGCTGGTCTAATCCGGGGCTCCTGGAAGAGTTCAGAACCCATCTGCTTTGATACACCCTCTTCAGATCCGAATTTGCTGTAAAGTCAGCAGTGTGCAAGTCTGGGGCTGGGGCGGTTCCAAAGCTAGAACCTGCGAATCTGAGCCTCGCATGTGAAGCTGTTGGCCTCTAAGACCGTGGTCTCGTAGCATATATACATCCAAAAGCTCATTCTAAATGTTAAGGCTCTCAGATTAGCACAACATCTAGCCCCTAAGCCTGCAGAGGCAGCCTTCATGTAATTTTTTCCGTGTCCAAACTCAGTCAACTAAATTCGCTGTCATATAAGTTTGAGCATGCCATCCAATGTAGTTAGCCTCTAGAAAAAGTTGACACTGCCAGGGTCGGAAGGATACCAGAAGCCAGAAACCTCACTCCGAAATGTTAAGAGCTTCGACTCGAAGGGGTTGAAGCCCTGAGCTTTGGTGTCCCAGAGCCTTTGTGTCACCACTCGGGAGCCAGTGCCCCACAAGGGGGTGCCATCTGGGAGGGTACGTTGAGTACATGGCCTCACAGTACACTGCGTACCCGCGGCTTCACCAGACCTCCTACATCTGACATGGTTGGGTTGCTGAAGCCTGTGAAGCCATACCTCCACTTCGGATCGGTGTGCAGATTTTCCCAAGACATTCTGGTCGGGCATGGTCTCAGCTTTACTGGAGTTGCTGCAGCCTGGCCCGAGTAGTCGGATAATGATATTCCAGAACTTCTGGCATTTCAAACATCCGAGTCTGGTCCCGATCTGAAACCTTGTCCCCCAGCCTGATGACTCGTGCTCGCGGTTAGCGTACCTACGAGCTAATGAGAGAGCCATGCAGGGAATGCACTCAGCAAGACGCACCGCGCACAGTGACACGCGACGGAGCATCGTACGAACCAGTCTGGACACTACAGTAGCAAGGTACGACGTTGTTCTGTCACTGTGCCATTGATTGCAATTAAAATCTCCCAAGTGTTGACTGCTAGAAGCAGTCGCGACTAGCTGTAATGGTAGGCACCGTACCAGTGGTGGTTGTAAACAGCTGGGGCGCGTACAGAAAGCACAATTGTGAACTGGCTTGCCGCGGGCATTTACAACCACTTACCACAGAGAACAGGCCAGGCGAAAAGTCTTTAGTGAAAAAAAAAAGATGATGAGCATTGGGCATTTCTTCCGGACTGGGGCCCTCCACTGAGTCAGTTTTGGTTTCGTGACGTTTCGTGACTTGTCGCAGCCTTGATGGCATGGGCTTGTTAGCCCACGCTGCTGCATCGAATGTTTAGTGCTGCAGAGAAGCATGGGGCTGTAAATCGACTGCAGGCTAGCGATGCAGCTAGCTGCCCTGCCCTGAAAACGCGCTGCATCGGCATGGTATACTGGTAATACACTGATGCACAGGTCTAGAAGTGTCTCGATATATAACTAGTCTATATGTGGGCCTGGGGGGTGTTTGCGGTATCATTTGTGCGGGCTCCGCCGTTGTAGGCTTGTGTTGATTCGGGTGCATAAGATTGCCGGGTTCGCCGCGCAGTCCGCTAACAGGTGTTCCGAATCGGTGAACGCCTGTAGCTTCGCATTGAATCTAGAAGTGCCCCAGCCAGGGACTGCAGGAGAAACCACATCTTGTAACTTGAAGCAACAATGGGCGAGGAGGAGGTTGCCTGGTAGTCGCGGCCACAAACCAAGTTCACCAACATCCACCACCTGCTTTCCGACGTGTACCTCGTTCATACATAGACATATTCATATACAAATATTTACAGACATACACACACACACATACATACGAACAATCGAACATTCATACAGACATACCTATATACAGTAGTATATCAAATAGTTTAATGTGCAACGTACATAGACAGTGTATACATATACACATATACACACATTTATTTATTTGGGTATTTATGTTTATGTTTGACTTAGTGTGGTTATAGTTACATGCTTATACTCGTACATGTAGGTGGGTAGAGTAGAATATAGCGGAAAAATGCAGCATGTAGCGTACTGCACTCCCGCGTAATATATGATAACTTGAGACCAAATAGCATGATAAAATAGTATGCAACTTTATATGACATATAGGTAAAGCATTAGCACAATGCCATAGAGTATAAGATAGTACTGGAGAGTGAAGTTTGGCATGGCATAGCTTGGTATGGTGTTTTTATTGTAATGCAGTGCAGTGTATGTAAGAAATTTATAACATTAAAAGCATGCTGCACGTTAAAATGCAGCAGAATTTTCTCAATGTGATAGAATGTAAGAAAGTTATTCCTCTTTAGAGCTTGCCAAAATACGGTATAGCGACGTCAGTTTACCATACTTACCAATGCATATGTATGAGCATGCATTCATATCCCTGTTTGCATGTATATCTTATGCGTATTATATAAATACGTATGTGTAGATATATAGATATGCATGCACATGAATGTCGGTTTTTCTATAAACATACGTGCATTGTATACATGGGTACCTACAAACAAACACATAACACACACACATATATATATATATATGTATACATACTTTTGCATACAAACAAGCAACCATACATCCATACATATCCATGTATGCCCACACACACACATATATATATATATGTATATGTATGCATATGTACATGCATATGTATATATATATACATATATATAGAGGCAAAAATATACATATATATATGTATATATATATATCTATATCTGTGTATATATATATGTATATATAGACAGAGAGAGACAGAGAGAGAGAGAGAGATATATATATATATATGTATATATATATATATGTGTGTGTGTGTGTCTGTGTGTGTTCTACACATATATACATGC